TCTTTATCCAAGGAGATAGGTGACAGTATCATCTATTCAAAATCTGCAAAAGTTTTGTGGAATAGCCTTGAACACAGATTTGGACAAACTAATTGAGCCAAGTTGTACCAACTGCAAAAGGAAATATCAATGTTAGTTCAAGGTAACAATAGTATTGCTGGATATTTTACCACACTTAAGAAATTATGGGATGAACTTGATTCTCTCAACTCTCATATAGTCTGCTCTTGTGACTGTATTTGTGATGGAAAAAAGAAAGTCACAAAGTTCTTAGAAGACCAAAGGATCATTCAGTTTCTAATGGGACTAAATGGTGTCTATTCCCAGGTAAGAGGAAACATTCTTATGATGAATCCATTGCCTGGAATAGATTTTGCTTATTCTCTCCTTCTTTAAGATGAAAATCAAAGGGAGATACATGCAAGACCACAGTTCAATGCTTATGCTTCCTCATTTATGGTAGGAGTTCAACGTAGGGCTCCACCGAGAAACAACAATCAATCAACAAAAGTCATGGACTAACTCACAAAAGGTTAATAACACACAACAGAAACCTAAGGGAAGGAGAGAAAAATTTAATTCTAATGTGAGCTGTACACATTGCATGAAAAATAAGCATGTCAGGGCTGACTGTTACAGGCTAAATGAGTTTCCAGATGATTTCCAATTCACCAGATCAACACAATTCAAGGCTAATGCTATAATTGAGGGACAAGACAATAACAATGGGAGCACTCAAAGCAATGATGCAACACCTCAAACTCAGTTTTTCAGTAAGGAACATGTGTCTAAGCTGATGAACCTAATCAAGAAGGCACAATTTGGAAATACAGCAAAACCAGGAACTACAATCAATGTAAATGCAGTAGCTGGTACTATACTTAAATATACTGGAACTTGTTAGGCAGTTTTTAACATAAAAACCTGGATCATTGATTCGGGGGCTTCTGAACACATGTTTTGATTCAAATTGTTTCTTAACTTTAGATCCACTTCCTGTTCCTGTACATATTAGCCTACCTAACTCATTTGAATTATATGTCAGACACATAGGTAGTGTTCATATTCAGTCTGATATGATTCTTGAAAGGGTTTTTTATGTTCCTTCCTTCAAATATAATTTACTCTCAGACCATAAGTTGTGTGTCCAGTTTCATTACTCACTCAATCTAACTTCTAGTGGATGCATCATTCAGGCCCCTTTAATGAGGAGGGGACAAGTTTTTGGTGAATCGAGAGGAGGATTGTACCTACTGGAGCCTAGCCCACCTAAGATAGATTCTGGTTCTAGTTTAAATACCAATGTATTTTCAATTCCACAAGGAAGTTTCCAGTGAAGTTTCTTGTTCTGTTTCTAATTCCAATAAAGAGGACTCTAATGTACTCCAATGGCATGTTAGATTGGGGCATCTGCCATTCTCAGTAATGAAAAATCTTTAGTTCATTTATTTTCCTTCCAATTTCAATTGTGTGTGTGATATTTGTCCAAAATCTAGACAAACTAGATTACCTTTTCCTTTGAGTCAAATCAGAACTCATGGAATTTTTGATCTTATTCATATTGATATATGGAGACCATTCGAAAATACCACTTACAATGGATATAAATATTTCTTGACTGTGGTTGATGATTTTAGAAGGGAAACTTGAACTTTTCTTTTAAGTTCCAAAAGCAATGCTTTCATTGTCTTACAATCTTTCTTAGTTATGGTGGAGAGACAATTTGCAAGGAAAGTTAAAAGAATCAAATCTGATAATGCAATGGAATTGGGGAAGGGATCTTTTCAGTCTGATTTCTTTCAGTCTCAAGGCATCTTACATGAGACTTCATGTGTAGGCCATCATTCTTAAGAAGAACAGTAATGAAGAAGCATTAAAAGACCTAGATTTATACATATGGGATAAGCAACAAGAGTAAGCTGGAATTTGGTAGCAGACATCAACAACGATAAATCGAAGTAAGAGTTATGGTATAGCATGATCTACCTAGATGCAGTAAAGTCATACGGATGGATAACATGGTCTATGAAATAAGATATAGAAATATTCGTAAATTCAACAAAGTACCGAGCGAAGAACTTCAGCATACCTATAGATGCCCAGAAGAACATCTTATCAAGCTCTGTATATGTTTACAAAGTGAGGGCTAGAGATTAGCTAAAAACTGGAGGAAAAAGAAGAGAAGAGTCGCATAGACGCACTTATAAAGTCAGAGAGGCTACATGATAAAAGGTAGCAATAGTCACAAGATTGGAAAGATTCCGACCACAAGTCATGGTATGAGAAAGAGTCTTTAAGGGGAGAATGCCCTAACCTTTAGATTTATTCACAGAACAGTTGTCTAGATGGCAAGGAGAGTACTAAAGTATTCAAAAGACATAAGTTACGAAAATGATAAGTGCATCAGTCAACATTCGAGGACGAATGTTCCAAAGGGGGAAATGATGTTACACCCCATATTTTCGTACGTAAAAATACGTCATAAGTAAATTGATGAAAGTTCAGAAATGAGATTTTACATCCCACATTTTCGTACGTTAAAATTTCGTCGTAAGTTAATCGACGTGAATTCGGGAATGAGGTTATTTTGAAATTATAAGCATTATGCTATTTCAAACACGTGATGAGTAAATTCGTGAAGGATAAAGGGTAAGCAAATCGAAGAAAATGAATTTCGTCAAAGTTTGACATTTTGGATAAAATACGACCCGAGCTAAAATACCCGGTATTTATGGACTAGTACCATACAAGGTACCACATGGCTATGATAGTAAGGTGTATAGAGTGTGTTAAAAGTGAGTGGTATTTTAAGTAATTTAAGATGATTCTTAATTATGTGGGTAATTAGTTAATTATTGGATTAGTGGGGAATAAAGTGTGCTACCGCCGACTTTAGTGATGGAAGAACGAATAGAAAAATACGGTAACCCTAATGAGTGGAGGGAGGACCAATTTATAGAAGTTCCCATTTAATCTGGTATGTTCATCAAGTAATCGATCAGACAGATAAAATTTGCTCATTAATTAAATATTAATTATTGGCCTTGAGCCACCAATATACGTATTAAAATCTTACACCCCATCCTGTCCCTTTCTATACTCTCAAGTGGTCTTCCTCTCTTGCCTCAATTATTCAATGAATAGTTAAGAAACATGACTCCATTATGAAATTTTTGTCTTTTTGTGGGTTAAGAGCAGGAGTAGCACTTTTTGAAAAGAGGAATAAAGGATAGTTTTTCTTACATTACCCGGTGTGTTTATAGTGTGAGGTCTTAGGTTCTATTTCTTGTTGGTTCATTTTTCCCTTTTTTTCCATTGTCTGGTTTGTGTTCTAGGAAGCTAGTTTATATTATCTTGCAATTCAATTAATAGGTAAAATAAAGCTCTTTGTAGAGACTATTTCAAGATAGATTAATGTCTATTTAAGATACTAGAGGCTCATTCCGTACTATAAAGGGATTAAATTTAAGATGAATTTATTTTACATTTGGTTAGATTAAAATACGGTATAACTAATCTCAAAATTAGTTATTCGCGGATCGTAGTGTTATTTTTATCTATATGGGAGGATAAAAATTGCGGGATAAATTATTTTCCAACCAAATAATATGGATACCAAAACTACTAAACCAACCAATAAAATTTCCTATCATTGTTTAGGTTTTCAACTTCAAAGAGGTATAGTGCAAGAAAATAACAAAACCTTAAACATAAAAAAAAAAAAAAAAAAAAATTAATCTCTTCGGTCCACTTTAGTTGATTTTTTGGTATTTTTCTTGTGGATATTAAGAAGAAATTAACTTTTCTTTTTTCAAAGTTGTCCTTAAAATAAAGGATTGTATAAACAAAATAAGGTTAAGATGATCATTTTTATTGTTAATTAATACTAGAATATGAATTCCATTAATACGTGTGAAAACAATTAAAAAAGAAACTAAATTCGGCAGAAAGTTTAAGGGTGTATTTGGCCTTTCAAGAATGTAGAGCGTAGGATATCATTCATACTTGAGCAATAATTCAGTAGAATCCAACTCTGCACAATTTCTAAAACAATATTCATGATATGGGAGGCCCAATATCAAGGGAGGCCTACAAAAAGATAAAGACTTCATGATATGGTAGGCCCAATTCGGTAGAAACAATATTCTCCAATATGAAGTCTTTCTAAAACAATATTCTCCATTATGAAGGAGAATTTTATTTTGTAAAAATATCACGGGCTAGCAGTTTTTGTACTGGTCATTTAAAAATAGCCAGCATTTATAAAGTTATTGAAAAATAGCCACTATTTTGCTGCAACACGGAAAGTTCCAGTATAATATACTGGAGATCGGTGCATCTGTATGTGAATTTCCAGCATAATATGCTGGAACTCCAACACGCGGAAAGTTCCAGCATAATATACTGGAGATTGGAGCACATGTGTATGAACTTCCAGCATATTATGCTGGATCGATATATTATACTGGAACTCCAGTATATTATGCTGGAACTCCAGTATATTATGCTGGAAGTCCAGTATACTTTGCTTGAACTCTAGTATAAATATACTAGAGTTCCAATATACTTATGCTGGAACTCCAGTATATTATACTGGAATTTCAGTATATTATGCTGGAGTATTTTCGTTTAAATTTATCTTTACATGAAAAATGGTTAAATTTTAATTATTTTTGAAACTCCGCTATTTTTCAATGACCGCTAGTAAATCGGCCTATTTTTGAATTTATTTTTTTTTATTTTGGGTGAGACTCACCCAATAATAGTTGTACGAGGCAACCCTTGCTTTTGACAAATGTGCTTGTGGGGTTCATTTGCTGACACTTAGTTATAATTATAATTAAACAAGAAAAAGTGAGTTTAGTGGAACGTGGGCCAACCGAAAGATTAGATAAAATAAAAATGAATGTAAAGTGAATTGTGGGTCCCGCGCAAAACCACAAACTTCTCCTCGTCGTTTTTTACCATACCCAAAATAAAAATTTCCCCAACTCAAACACCATTTAGTGTATTAAATTATTATTCACTCTAATTTCTTGTACTTAAACCAATTCTTGACCGTTTCATATCTACAATGTTTAACACACTTTATATTCTTTCACTTAACCAAACTTAGATATGGTATTGCTTTGAATGCAACTAGTAACTGGGAAATCAATTAATTGTTGATTGTGATTAACTTCAATGCAAAATTGTAGTTTGTACAGATCAAATTCTGTTAATTTAGCTCAATTCTAAATATCTTCTGCAATGGATTTAAGGTAAAATCTTTTCTCAGAAAAAAGGAAAGTTTTGCTTTTATTTTCAGCAAAAGCAAGAGGCAGATAGCACGGAAGCAGCTAGTTTTCTCTGAGCATTCTTCTTTGCATACTACTCTTAGCATTGAACAGGTAAACCTAAGGCTATTTTTAAGATCGAAATATTAATCCTCTCCAAATTGTTATATCATTTTGTGATTTGCTTTGCAACTTTCAGAAATGGATATTGGCTTTTAGCAGTTGGAGGTGCATTTCTATCTTCAGCTTAGAATGTTCTCTTTGATAGGCTTGCTCCTCAGGGTGAGTTGCTGAAGATGTTCCAAAAGGGCAAGCATGATATTGGACTGCTAAAGAGGTTGAAGATGACTTTACAAGCTGTGCTATGTGATGCAGAGAATAAGCAGACATCAAATCCATACGTCAACCAGTGGCTTAACGAGCTTCAAGATACCGTAGACAGCGCTGAAAACTTAATTGAAGAAATAAATTATGATGTTCTGAGAGTTAAAAGTGGAAGACCAGCATCAAAATCTTGCAGAAACAAGCAACAAGCAGGTAAGTGACCTCAACTTAGCAATTTTGTTGAGTTTATAGTAATTATGATGTTCTGAGAGTTTATAGTAATGCATTCTTGAGCTTTGATCTGTCTACTGGACGTCTAAAATCCATTTTTTTCCTACTCAAAGGTACATGAGACAGAATATTTGTTTTCTTATATATAAAAGACAAAAGACCATGTTAAGGTTATTATGTATGATCATCTGATCTCAACTTAGCAATTTTGTTTTTCTTTGTCAGGATATTGGTAACTTCTTGTATGCTATTACAACTCCTTAGTCAGTTGGTGAAAGGAAAGTTGTGCTGATATTCTCTATTGAATAGGCAATGACCTCAACTGTGATCTGTCATCAGAATGTAAGTGAAGAATCATACTTCACTTTTGTGTGTAATTTGCCGGCATTAGTTCTCTTTAATCAGTCAGTGAAAAGGGCTAGTCATTTCTCTTAAGTCATCCTGAAGGAGGATTGTCTATTAAAACAAGGTGCAGTAGCAGATGTGTCACGATCCAAAATCCAACTAGTCATGATGACACATAACTCAATCCTTTAGGTAAACCAATTACCAAATATCTCATTCCAATAATGATTATTAAAGCAATTTAAGTAAATAAATATCTTAATCTTATACCATCCCCAAGAACTGGTAGTACAAATCATGAGCTTCTAAGAAAAGAGTATAGAAAACGGAAATGAATTAATTACATAGTATGTTATAATAATACATAAACAGAGCATTTATAAATCTAAGGCTACCCTAAACAAGAGGCAGCTACAACAGGAACGCAGGTACATCTTCAAATCTCGTAACCATCGAGCACAACAACAACAACCAACATCTGCATGCAATGTGCAGAAGTGTAGTATCAGTACAACCGATCTCAGGTACTTAGTAAGTAACAAACCTAGCCGTAGGTTGAAAGTAGTGACGAGCTTCCACCAAGGTCGGGTCCAAAACCAATAGTCGACAATAGTCCATAACAACATAAAGCAAATAATACCAGAAGTAACTCAGAGATAACATTCTCAGCCAAATCATGATTTCAAAAAAATAATAGTTCTTCCTTTCAAATTTATCAGTGTAGACTCAAATCTTTTGACGAAGTTGCCAATAATATGACTAAGTTTGAAAACAGTAATTTTTCCAAAATCATTTTAATAATAAATAAAATGTCTCATTTTCTTTCCAGATAACCAGTGTAAAATAAATGCATCACTATGCTCATCTCTCAACATGTGTGAGAAATCACGAATAATATGATACCGTACAACATGAGTAAAACACATCTCTATAAATGTATGTCATTGTGCATGTCACCGCATGGAAAATGTCAAGATTATTTAACTACAAAATTCCACATAAATAATTATGTTACAATTTTTATAGTGCACGCCCACGCGCCCGTTACCTAGCATGTGCGTCACCTCCCAACAATACATGAAATACATATATTAAGGGTTCATACCCTCAATTCCAAGATTAGAAGAATTACTTACCTCGAACAAGATAAATAATGCTCCAGAAATCCCATTATGCGTGTATCAACTCCCGAACGGCTCGAATCTACCACAATTAATTTGATTCAGTCCACACAAATCAGTATTCAAACTTGAAAAAATCGTTTTGTGATATTATAGAAATTTTCTTCTATTTCTCTTCAAGATTCAATAATCTTACACCAGAAATGAAGATTAATTCATGGAATATAATCACAAGGGAGTTAATAACACTTACCCCAAGTTGTGTAAAAAAATTTTCTCTTCAAAATCGCCCAACCCGAGCTCCAAAATTCGAAAAATGGGTAACAATGTCGAACCCTCGAATTTAAGGTTCTGTCCCAGCGATTTTCGCATCTGCGGACAAGGGGTCGCATCTGCGATCTTTGCTTTTGCGGGAAAAATCTCGCTTCTGCGAGAACAGCTTGGCCAGCCATAATCGCTTCTGCGATGCCAAGGACTGCACCTGCGGTCGCGCTTCTGCGCTCAAAGGTTCGTACCTGCGGACCTGCCTCTTCCTCAACTCCACATCTGCGGAGCCTCGCTCGCACCTGCGGGCTCGCAGATGCGGTTAACTCCTTCGCACATGCGCCCTGCCCAGGCTAGACCAGCTCTGCCTCTGCGTAAAAAGGGTCGCATCTGCGGCACCGCACCTGCGGCCAATTCCTTGCAGGTGCGATCACACCAGAAAATAAAAATTTTCTAGATTTCTTCCAAGTTTGAATTTGATTCGTTAACCATACGAAACTCACCCGAGTCCCTCGGAACCTCGTCCGAACATACCAACAAGTTCCATAATACAATACGGACCTACTCGAGGCCTCAGATCATATCAACCAACATCATAACGACGAATCGTATCTCAAATCAAAATCTATGAACTTAGAACTTTTAAATTCTACGTCTTGTGCCGAAACACATCAAATCAATCCGGAATGACTTCAAATTTCGCACACAAGTCACATTTCACATTACAGACCTATTCCAATTTCCAAATTCAGATTTCGACACCGATATCAAAAAGTCAACCCCTCCGTGAAACTTCTAAAACTTTCGACATTTCAAGCTAAATTCCACTATGGACGTCCAAATAATTTTCCAGACACGCTCCTAAGTCCACCATACGGAGCTTTTGGAATTATCAAAACTCCATTCCGGGGTCGTTTACACTTAAGTCCACATTCGGTCACTATTTTAACTTAAGTTTTAAATCTTGTAACTAAGTGGTCCAATTCATTCCAAAACCTCACTGGACCCGAACCAATTACCCTGTCAATTCACACAACAACTGTAAAGTAAAATTTGAGTAGTAAATGAGAAAACGGGGTTGTAATACTCAAAATAACCGGCCATGTCGTTACATTCTCCCCCACTTAAACATACGTTCGTCCTTGAACGTGCCAAGAGTTGTTTCCAAGCCTTCAAATCACTGTTCCATCTTACCGCACACGTACCCGGGGGTGAACCCACGTCACCCTATTCTATATAAGCTTGACAACAGAATACAACTGAAATCATTGATTTAACTTTAGCCCATAAACCTTGGAATTTAATTTCCACCATTCAGAAATTTCTTTTCAAGACACGAATCTTACATTTACACACTGTATAAGTTTGAACAAGTTGTATCAAGCTATAACCATAACCACGGATATAATTAACTAATATATTACATAACTCGCATGCTCATAGCACTATTTCTGACCACAGTGACTACTCCAAAACCAACCAAATACCAATATTAAACCCATATCGAACTAAACCTCATCCCAAAACCTTCGTTCACTGTTAATAATAAAAGAAACATGTGAAATTTCATGACCTCTTACCATATCAACAAGTCACGGAGCTCTCTCGCCCCAACCGAAACCATAATCACTTTCTGAGCCGACTCTCAATATTATACTCCCGAATATACTAAAATCAAACCTGATACTAAAACAGATGCAGCACGGCTTCTAGCTGGTCCATAGACTGGTTCAACATGAGAAATGTGTTGAATATCAGGCAACAATCTATGATTGGTAAAGGAATGTCTATTATAATTAGAACTAATAGTAGGCAACAACCTATTATTGGAAAATGACTGTCTACTATAAGTGGAACTATTATCGTCAAACTGAATGCAAATCCTACCATCCGGATTTTGAGTAATATGAGAATACTCAGTATTACTGACAGCATTAGTTATCTGACTGGGGGATATAACCGAATCCAAAGTCTATGTAGTTGAAAAAATAATTTTCTCCCACTTAATAGGTCTCCTCGTGGTGACCTTAGACTTTGCAAAATTCGTTTCCACTAAAATAGTATGATCAGATATATCATATAATTTACATCTGGGATTTAACGTAGATAGCAATTTGAAATAAATCCTATACGATAAACATATAAGTTCAGAACCAGGCGCATAATTATAACCATGCGTTTTCACATTTAATGTTAATGCATCAAGTATATTAACATCAGATAAAGATAATTACAGATTGGGTTTGATATTCCTACAAAATCTCGACCTTGTCAGATGAACGCAGAATTAGTAGAATTTTGCAAAAAAGAGATTGATAGTTTGCTACAAAAGGGTTTGATAAAACCCTCAAAATCTCCTTGGTCTTGCACAACTTTTTATGTTAATAACGCAGCTGAAAAGGAACGTGGCGTTCCTAGATTAGTCATTAATTATAAATCCTTGAATAAATATTTGAAGTGGGTTAGGTATCTTATTCCTAATAAAAGAGATTTATTGTCTAGATTATATGATACCAATATATTTTCAAAATTCGATTTAAAATTTGGATATTGGCAGATTCAAATATTTAAAGAGCATACTTATAGAACTGCTTTTANGATGTCATCTATTTAAATATAAATGAACTTTATATATAGAGTTTTGACTTGGTGTCAAGATGGTTGGTACAGTCTAATATAACACTGCTCTTATTGGCTTTGCCTTAGTGGCTTCGTCTAGCCAGCCGTGAACCTCAGCCCGATAAAGGAGTTTAAAAGGGCATCTTCTTTCACAGTTAGAACTGCTAGACACATGGGCTCAATAAAACTATGTATTATATTACGACAGACCCCTTGCTTGAGTAAAGGTTTTAACCTTCCATACAGTCATTAAACTATATATAAAATTCAAGTATATTTCAATTCTTATATCCTTACTGATTGTGCGGATTACCGCCAGTCTTTAAATATAAGGGTACTGAATTAGCTAGAATAAGAATTCTCAAGTATGTTAAAATAGAAATCTTTAACTGGTGGAAATCTTCCAGACATATAAATGTTAGATGTGAGGTTTGAAACAAGTCCAGTTCCTGGTCAAACGGTGATTTCTGTTTTAGTTTAATTGAGAAGGCATGGAGGATTACCGCCTGCCACTTGATTTCTAAGAGAGATCTAGCTGACATTAAGTGTTATAAGTGTGGTAAATTTGACCATATAGCTCCGAATTGTAAGCTTCAAAAGCTGAAAACCTTAGGACTAGACGATGAGTTACGTGATACGGTTTATGGTTTGTTATACACTTCTGGATCAGAATCGGATTATTATTCTGAGTCAGAATCCGAAGCTGAAATAGATTTACTAGATTTATCTGATAGTGATAAAAATATTGATAATACTTGTACAACTTGCAAAGGTGATACATGTGCTTATGATGATGAATTTTATAAATTACAATCACAATTTAAAAATTTGAATATAAAAACTATTACATCTGATAATGTAATAGAACTTTTAAAAGAAGTTACTGATGAAAAACTTCGTGAAAAAATTATTAATTTGGCTGCTAGTTCAAGTTCTAGTTTTGTAAAACCTTTTGAAAAAGAATTTGAATATTCTCCACCTTATTCATTACTTGAGGTTAATAACCGTCTGTTAAACAAAAATGCAACTCCAGCAAGAGATTCTTCTTTCGATGATTTAAAAATTAAACTTGAAAACTTGAAACGA